CCGTCGGAAGGAGTCATCATCAGCATCTGTAAGAACCGCGAACATGTACAGTGGTTGTTCGCCGATGATTTGGGGTGGTGGGGTAGATATCTGCGCATTGGAGACGAAAGCAGGTTAGTTGGTGCGTAAATACAGGTCTGTCAGTGGACTTTTAATTGGGGGGTTGGGAAGGGAGATATGCATTGGAATTAATGGCTTGGATGCACGATCACCATTGAGGGCGCGATTGGGCCATGTCCGACGATGGCCCTAACCATTGATGTGGTCTCTCTCGGGGTTTCCATTCAGATTGGAAGAAATGACCAGCACAGCTGAGTTTGCAGGCAATGGCTTTCACTTCGGAAGGAGTTAGTTCCAACGACGGCAAAGACCAGCACAGCTGAGTTTGCAGGCAATGGCTTTCACTTCGGAAGGAGTGACGTAGTTCCAACACTCGTCGCAAAGTGAAGGCATAATTGATACAACCCTGGCTAGGATGAAACGCAGCTGGCTTTCCACAAGCACTTTGCACAACAACTTTCGTGGGCAAATGGTGTTACCCATTTGGATTACGAAACTGAATTAAAACTCCGGACCGTGAACCTGGAACCCCTACACCTTCGTGGGTATATGACTGCATACAATAACTCGAGCGCAACGAGGTCCTTGTCCGGAAAAACCTCCCACCCGAAGTCAGTACTTGTTTGATCCGTCTGCCTCTATTTGGAAAAAAGAGTGGCAGGCAACTGAGGAAAATCGGTGATGGCGCCAGATTGTTGTGGGTGCGGCAATCATAGGAGAGAAGGATGATCCCAGCCATGATGAAAAACTTGGCGTTACCTGTTTTTCGTCGCCATATCGTGGCTCGTGAGTTATCGACACGATGGAAGCAAGCGGGATTCCTGCCTGGGAGGGGTTGAGTTGACCGAATCTTCACACTTCATCATGCTAGAACAACACCTGGATTCCAAAACCTTCACACTTCATCATGCTAGAACAACACCATACGTAGAAAGGACTTACCATTTTTGTATTCCTGGATTCCAAAATAATTCAGCTGTAGAACCCTTCCGGTGCCAAGCTGCCACGCCACCCGAAAGAAGCACAAGAGCAAGCATATCGCCAGGTTGCCCAAGTGCTGAACGATGTAGTGAATTCGGGCAAGATGGATCAGGGATCAGAGCGTGGATTTACTGACCAAAAGTTCCATGGTTCGAACGGGACCTCTGCATCTCGACATCCCCTCTCTAAGCTTCAGAAACCTGACAGTATACCGGCCCTCGTGCTTCCATCGGGCGGCATGACAGTTACGCATCGAAAGGGTACTACATCACCATCATCATCGACAGCATGACATCCGTCACGAAGAGACTGGACCTTAACGTGGTGTGGCGGTTTGTGTACTTCGGCGACCCATTGAGCTATACTGGGGAGTGTCCGCACAATGCTCACAGAGTCTCTCATACCAGGTTGGTCAATGGTTAGAGGTCTGACGAACACAGTCTCCTGGTCCTCCAAATTGGGGGTTGGAACATGTATGGCGACGTGTTCCGTAAAAAATGGTAATGTACTTGCATTTCCAGCCGAACACCGCTGCCTTGCGGTTAGGCTTTTGAGCCAAAAGCTTTGGT